CTCTCTCTCTCTCTCTCTCTCTCTCTCTCTCTCTCTCTCTCTCTCTCTCTCTCTCTCTCTTTTTGGGGAATTATATTTGTGCATCTTCGTTCGTGATATCGTTAATCACGTATTTACCGAGTTGCGTAATCGTCGAATTTTTATCCATTTATAACATTGTTTACGTAAGCCGCTGCACGCGCTCTATTACAGTTCAACGGGAACGCAACGCCGAGAGGATATAAAAAAAAGAGAGACTTTATCTAGGAATCCCTCGTAGCTCGATGACGTCGGACATCTCATGCGATAAACATAGTTTCGAGCTGTATGAGTCAAACGTTACCTGCGAGCCACGATGATATGCACGTAACCGAAATACTGCGCGATGCGAAATGTCGAACGTCGGTGGAAGGATGATCCCACTTCTTACCAAATGAAGTGAAATCATCCAGTGGATCCCGCTCTCGCCGTGGAAACGATACCTTCACGATGTCCGAGAAACATCAATAACACGTATTCCGAATCACTATGAAGTTTATCATCTTGGTTATAGCTTGATGAAAGAAAAAATATTTATTAAATTAAATTTTCTTTGGGTGACGCAAGTTTATTTTCATAGTTTAATGAGAAATTTTGATCAAGTTAGATGTCGTTTTATGTTATAGGTCCTGCGTGATTCCGTCAAGGCACGGAGAGAAGTCGAGCTTCATTGGAAAGCGTCGGATTGCAAGCACATAGTCCAAGTCAGAGATGTGTATGAAAATACCTACGGAGGCTGCAAGTGTCTGCTGGTAGTTATGGAATGGTACGTAAGAGAGAGACACACAACAAGATATCATACACATTTGATTTCATCACTGTAGCAAAGTGCGATTCCTTAAATTCACGTTCGATCGATCTTTCAGCATGGAAGGCGGCGAGCTGTTTCAAAGGATACAAGATAGACAAGACGGTGCTTTCACCGAAAGAGGTACGGCCTTGCGCTTGAAACTGCTCGTAAGATATTTTGACACGTTGTAAATAGTACAATCACGTGAACCGCCTGTCTCTTGTTGCAGAAGCCGCAGAAGTGATGTATGAGATTTGCGCAGCGGTGAAGTACATACACGACATGAACATTGCTCACAGGGACCTGAAGCCGGAGAATCTTTTATACTCTAAGCCCGGTGAGTTACGCCAGTTTTTGCAATATTGAGTCATTCGTCTGTCGATGCAGCTTGGAAACATTGTTATCATCTGCAGTACTTTGCGAAACACGCTCACGCGTGATATCTATGAACCTTGAAGTGTGAAGACCACGATAATGTTTATCTGTATATACACCGCAGAGATTGATATCGGTAGAAGCTATGCTATTATACGTAATTATACACGGCAACTGTTATTTTTGCGATAACTTGCTCTCTACAGTTGAATAGAGTAAGATAGATTTTGGAATTGTACAGATTGAGTTTATATCGAGTTTGTGATCGAGTGTCGTACATGTTCTGTGCAGATAGCACGGGAATTCTAAAACTCACCGACTTCGGCTTCGCGAAGGAAACATTTTCAAAAGATAACACGCTGCAGACACCATGTTATACACCTTACTATGTCGGTAAGCACGCACACTTAAGGAATACTCGTGTGTTTAAAATCAAAATTATCAGCCTCTCTTCTGACATGTATAGGATTTTGTTTTCAGCCCCGGAAGTTTTAGGAACAGAGAAATACGACAAGAGCTGTGATATTTGGTCACTGGGAGTAATCATGTACATACTGTGAGTACATTTCTTTGTTTTGTTCTCATATTGTATCATCTTATTAATAAATCCTAATTAAAGCCACGCACCAGGAAAAGTGCATTTGTAACCGTATCTACAATCTCATTTCAGATTGTGCGGTTTCCCACCATTCTACAGCATGCACGGGCACGCGATGTCGCCCGGGATGAAAAAGAAGATACGGCAGGGACAGTACGACTTCCCCTCCCCGGAGTGGTCGAACGTAAGCAAGGAAGCGCGGAATCTTATCGAGGGCATGCTCTGCATAGACCCAGCGCAGAGGCTGCAGATCGACGATGTGATGCGCAACAAATGGATCGCCGTAAGAACATATCATTACGCAATTTGATCATTTCTTTGTAAACTTCCAAGCGTTACATCTATTCCTTATTCGCAGAGATACACGGAAGTGCCCGCCACTCCTTTGCACACCGGACGCGTTTTACGCGAGGGCGAGGAGTCCTGGCCCGAGGTGCAGGAGGAGATGACGCGATCGTTGGCAACGATGCGCGTGGACTACGACACGGCGAGACTGAAGCAGCTCGACCACACGAATAACCCGCTGCTGAACAAACGGAGACGCGCGAAAGAAGCGAACGCGGTGCCACCGACCGCCAGTCCGACAGCCGCTTCCTAGGAAGACGCCGCCAACTTGAGGACCAGACGGAACTGGACTGTCTTCTTACGTAGATGCATCCGATACAGCGTGGTCATTACGAGGATCGTTTTCTGACTGCTACATCTCACCAAGCGCAAGAAATTCCGAAGTAGGATAGTGTCGAAGGGCGCTTAGTCTAGGCTGCGACGTTTAGAAGAAACGTATCCCATCACGCGTTACGCTTCTTAGTGTTCGATGTGTTAGAAACACGACGGGTTTCGTTGACAGCAACAGTAACACACGCAACGACGACAATACCGCTTCAACGAACGTAAGTAAACGAGACCTTCGTAACTATCACCGTAACGTCACCGTCCTTCTTTGCCAGATAAGGCTCGTTTACGAATGCGCGCTGTTCGCGTTGTTTCGCGAAAAAAAAAAATATATATATATATATATTCCGTATATTAAAATTTTTTTTAATATACTGACCGCGTAACTAATTCGTATGCACGAATGAAGAGCGAATTACACCATCATCGGTTACTAATCACGGAAATATATCACATCGTCAATTTCCGCTATGATCGTAGGCCTAATCGTTTTCATTATTCCGAGACAATGGCCTTGAGAGGCGTTGACGTGAAAGTTGGCCAATGGGCGAATGGTACTATGTGACTTCTGACAAATTTTGACATGTTTTCTACCACTATTTTATCTAGAGAACCATCTGCCACAAATCATTCTATATTTTTCGTCTCTTTTCTATGAGATAGTGTGAAACATATTTAATTCGGTGATATGGACGTGAAAAGAAAACTTATTATTGTCATACATATATAACGCTGGCTTCTCGCGAAAAACCGTATGTGCCGCGTGGTAGCGAACGTGTTAAACTGATAGCTTACACTTGAAAAAGTACATCTTTGAATAAGTGGAGTGTTATGTTTTTTTGAATGTGTCTCTCTGTACACATGTAATAAATATATTCTGACGTAGATATCAACAACAAGAAACAGTCGTTTCGCGACACGTAATCCCCGTGCAAATGCAATGCAGACATGATAACATGAAGGCTATTTACCCGTATGCGCTATGCATTAAGATTAACTGTCGCGATAGTTGCTCATACTTCGATATCACACTAGCTAATTTACTTGCTGCCATCGGGTAATCAAGTGCACGAGGTTTGTGTATTTATCGTCAGATATCAAACGTGATGAGACGATATCTCACGTGATATAGTCTTCTATGCCCGTCCAGCTCGTTTCAAGTGTGTGCGTAAATTTCTATGGTTATTATCCGCGTCGGATCAAGAGAAATCGAGCTTCCTGCTCGGTCCAACTTATAGTGCAACCAATTTAGAAATTGAATTTTTATTCCAATATCTATATATATGCTTGGTATTTTCAGTACACGTATAGTTGTATTTACATATATTTAGATTTTGTTTAAGGTTTGACAAATTATCATAATGAAATTCATTCAGAGGATTACGAGACGTATATTATATTCTGGGAATGATATTGAGGCTGATTTTAAGTGTATTAACTCTTTGCGCTCTAATGCATATGTTATACATTTCATATTATCAAACTAAAAAGATTCTCTTAACAGTCTGTTATATAGTCTGCACTTTTAATCTAACACATTGTTGTCATAATCAACTGCGTTGTGAAATAGAACATCTAACCATTCAAAGTTTTAGCGCAAAGAGTTAAAACCTAAACTTTTTTTAACATCTTCAGGGATGAATTTGTTAAAGTCAAGAAAGAGAAATTAATTTAGTTTTAAAATAATTTTAAATGTAACATCTCGATAATATAACGGTATTTCTCCTTGTGAAATTTTGCAGTGAATGTTCACTCACAGCAATGTTTAATGTTTTATGTCGACAATGTTTAAATTTAAAAAAAAAGGAAAAATTTGAACGTATCTAAACGTACACATATGTGTTAGTGTATCCCTGAAAAAGTTAAATTACAAAACAAGTTTTATCCGAGAACAGTCGACTACCATGGAATAAGTGTAGATCAGTGTGTTCCAGTACTATATAGTTAAAGAGGTAGGGGCATAAAAATTGTATATATTTCTATATAACACGTTTCGTGTCGGAACGACTTTATGTGACTTATGTATACTTGTCATCCACACCACGTGGGTCAATCACGCGGCACGGAACATGTTAAACTTGTTCACGTAGATTTGCATAAATATTTACGATTGTGTAGCGGAGAATCGTTAGAAATATAGGAAAATTAAGTGGAATATCGGTCGATTAATTTTCGGCTATGAATTGCAATAGGGGGAGATGAGAAAAATTCTCGATGTGCCTGTAAACTTTGATCAAAGAAAAAGATCGCGTTATCACGAATGCATTATAGAGTATTCGAAAAGTTTCATTAATAATTTATAGTATCACTACAAAGAATAATAAGTTAATATTTTAGAGAAAGAAGACAGTCATTTTTTCAGACATGTCTAAATTAATCACAACCTGTAGATGTGAGAGATATATTCGTACAAAATTTATATGGAAAGTTATTCCAAAATTCCAGATTAGAATATATTGTACGAATAGTATAGTTTTTAAACGTGCGTGTGTGTGTGTGTGTGTGTGTGTGTGTGTGTGTAGAGAGAGAGAGGGAGAGTGTGTAAAGAGAGAGAGAGAGCGCATACATAGTTCCTCGTGTTCTCTACATTCGATCGGTAAATTCAATTATCATATCTAAGAGAATAATGAAAAATAGTGCAGCTATACACACTATAGGTCAATATAAACGGGTTAAACTGCAGTAGTGAAATATTTTTATAAATCTAAGGTGTGCCGGTTCGATCTGCATTTAAAAGAGAATTGACAATAAATATAAACCCCCTTAACTTTCATCTCAGCGTTACTTACATCCAGTTATAGTATCACAGTTGTCAGTATCACAGTGATATTAAAGTCCCATATTTTTAAAATATGACAGTTGTAAATTTCCATAAACTAAAATGTTTACGATTGAAATTAAAGAAAATATTTTGTATCTGTCTCATCCGTAATTACTCTTTCGTTAATTTCCCTTTTTTACGCGCCAAAAAATTATTTGTCCGGTAAAAATAATTGACTATTTCGCGCTTTATATATAATTTATTTAACGTGTCATTAATACAAAGTAGTTTAACGGTTACAGCTATTAGATATAAATAAAATAATAGAAATAATAATAAAAAAAAGTATATATATATATATATATAGAGGAATTATCTTCTTCACGAAGATTAACCTCGACATGAGGACCCGAGTTTATTGTGCCTAGATTAAACAAGTAACTGGTAGAATTTTAACGTATAGATTATAAAGTCCATTGGATTTTTTGTGAAACTTCATTTTACATGTAAATGTTGCATGAGTACCTTTTTCTATTTTTAAATTTGTATAGAATTGAAAAAATGTTGATTTCATAGAAATTACGTACGCATTTTATTTTCTTTTTCTTGCACATTGAATTGATATAGATTATAAAATTTAACATGGTATCTGTGTGGAATTAGATCCACTTCTCAAATATACAGACACTAATTATTTATAGTACTGATTATATAATTAGTGATAATAGAGTTGACAATATCGGTTTCAACGACTCTATTATGAAATATAATGTTAATAAATTACTATAATAATTATATTAAAATATGTCTTATATAACGTATGTATACCTCCGAATAAATCGTTTAAAATGCTGCAATGCGTTTTGTAGACACGAATTATTCAATCGTCAAATCTCAACGTCAAATCTTAACGTCGGATGTGCAAGAAATTAGACAAAATTATTACTATCACGTATATCTTCAGAATTATATAAATATAATTACTTAAATTACGTAAATTGACGACCGTCAGAGAAGCACATTCCATATTTTATTATATACTGTGATTTAAAAAATTAGTACAAAAAGAACATAAATTTTAATGTAGGTACTTTACGCAACGTTTGGTGGACAATCAGAGATAATGTGCGTTAGAATAAACCTGCGATACCGAAGCACCAGTAATAAAAATCGAAATAATGCTCGGTACACATATAACAACAACGGGATCACCGAAAAATACCAAATGTAAATGTGCAAGTATAAAATGTCGTTAATCAATCGCCCGTTTCACGATTTTTCAACAATCATACAAGAGTAGTAGGTTACAAATTATTAAAAATATATATAGATTTCCTCTTGCACAAACCATCATCTAATGTTCTCTATTTCCTTTATAACTTTTTCGAGCTGTAAGTTCTCCATGCCACATAATTAGATTATCTTGACAGTAGCTCTACGCGCTTACAGTATTCGTCACTTAAATCTATCGAACGCAAGGGCCATTACAAACTCCATGTCCCGTAATCATAAAGACTCGGTGATTATTTTGAATCTTTGCGCGTGTGTGTGTGTTGAGTGACACAAACTGCAAACACAGTGCGAAATGGTGTATTTCTATTTTTTATCCTTTCGAATGTATCAAATGTGTTGCGAAATCGTGCCATAATATATGGAACTATAACCGTTGAAGGAAGTAATTTACGAGTATATGCTAGGTTTTGCTCTAAGCATATAAGATATATTCTGTCACTTACACTTGACACACTGATAAAACTGATCGCAAGCTCACACATCGCTGGCGAAATATCTATTTTTTTTCCTTTTTTACTTCTTTGTCTATAACACGCGCTCGGGCACGTGTGTCTCGTAATAATGCAATAACGACAATTTTAAAATACAATATAACCCTCTAACTTATCGGCACATAACAGGAGACAGCATACGTTACTACTTCCGATTGCAGTCACCACACGAACGAGTGTGAAATGACTGCCGAAGCCATCGCGAAAATCCGCCGTAAAAATCCATATCAAATGCCGAATTGTGTGCCAACTCTCCTCGCGCTACTTCGACGAGCTCAGCGAGGTAAAACCGCAGTATATAAGTAAACATCTCCTCTAATCATACGAGAAGCGCGCGGTTCGGATAAAATGAAGCGTCCATCTAAAAAGACACGACGTGGCTGCTGAGAATCTGCTAAGAATCATTGGAATGTAATGGAATTACGAACTTCGGCCCGAACGGCGATTTGTACGTGATCCCAACGTCGGAATACACCTTGTTTGGCAACGCCAAGTTGCACAGATACAATCTACCGTTGTCGGCGCTGTGCGATAACGGCAGGGCCCCCAGTAAACTGAATTTACTGATGATACCGGGTGTACCCGTCGCCGGCGGCTCGATAGCGAGAACTGGCGCTCTGTTGGTGTTAGCCCATCTCGCTATTGGAGTGATCATCCGCGACGAGTCCTCATCGCAAAGAGCTACGAGGATGAGATCGACGAGAGACGGCAGGTTCTTTACTTTCGTCTCTACTTTGTTCTCTGTTAACTTGTATAGAGAGAGTTCCTGCAGCAAGAATACATCCTCCGAGTTCTCAACAAACACGATCGTCTTGACACCGTGGCTGGACAACTGTCGGGCGCAATTGATACCGGCGGCGCCAGAACGGTGCGGACCGCACAGTGCGACAACTGTGGGCCACTGATGTGCGTTATTCGGATTCAGTCGGTGACTTCCACCCAACAGCTGCAAGATGAGCTCAGCACCAGCGCGTCCGAGAAGTTCCACCTTTCGGAGAAGTTTGGACCATTACAGTGAGTCAAGAGCTTCGCGTAGCAACTGTTTATTTAACGCAAACCGAGTTCCAACGAGTTTCTCGATTACGGCAAACATCAGGTGTCGGATCGAGATCAGAACTTGTCTCGCGCTATTTTTAGGTAAAACAGTTGCTAGATGAAGGAAATTTGTCTTGAGGAGTGCGAGTATACGAACCCTGCGTTCCCAACTTATCCCCAATCTATCCGCCGCACCTATCAATTGACGATGGAGATTGAGAGTGATGCTAGGAATTACTAAACCGTTGTCAGTAACATATTCTTTCGCGCTGGCGCAAGGCACCACGATCCGATGTATCGTAGGTTCGGACACGAGAATGTTCTCGTCAGGTCGGTAGATCGCGGTGGTGCCTCTATTACTTTCCGACTGGCGAACGATGTCTGGTTTCAGAGAATTGATTTCTTGCCATACAGCCTACAGGAAATAAAAATCGTGTGAGTAATAATACATCGTAATACAATAGAATAACATTAGAATCAATAAATCAGTGGACAAACCTCTTTGTTGAACAACGCCAAGTTCTTTTCAAAATCGAAGTCTTGATTCAAAGATTGATCAATTGGAGTACCAAAAGTATGTTCGTCTCTTTCTAATACTCTTTGTCTATGAGTCAATCGTTTTGGAATGGCTTTGTTGTTTGGTATATTGCTACAATGCTCTGCTGCAATAAAATTTTTATATTAATTTACATAAACACACATGAATCATATATGTGTATAATGTACCTGATGCAATTTTTCCATTTGTGGTTTGCTCCATTTGTTGTTGATTAGATTCCATGGGCTTTCTGAAATTTGGTGCTTGAGACCCTCCTGCTTGCACTGTAGACGAAACACTTTCTGAGATTGATCTCCCAGCCCTTTTAGCGATAGGCCTCTTCACAATAACTTTACTCTGAGATTGGATATCGTTTGTTCCTGCTTCTTCTGTTGATATAATCTCAACATTGTGTATATCTTTTACACTATAACAACAAAGACAGATATATTTAACACATGCTCATGTTAAGTAATATTTTATTTTATTTTATCAAGATTAAGATTGCATCTGTAAAAGAACTATTATTGTTATTGTATCATAGTTTGTAGCATAATACTATGTTGGTTGTACAAATAAATTAAGATTATAGTCTTACCTCAATTTAACAATGGAAGAAGAGTGTGGTATGCCATTGCAAAATGCCTTTGCTAATGTAAGACTATTCTTATTTAGATCAATAATTTTACCTTGATAGGTACCAAGATCATCGATGCACTTCACAGAAACAGTACAACCTAGGAATTGCTCAGACATTTTTCCCTGTAATTATAGACATACAGGTAAGACTTGTAAGTTTCCCATTATTGTACAATTACGATAACACAATTGTTTTCCTTACAACTGTTAATAAGATAAATTTGCGGTTAACTTGTGAAAAATAACACGAATTTAAAAATAACAAAATACTCAGTCCATGCCACAAACATATTATTATATCTTATTTATATGTAAATGGACTTACTAGGAATTAAATTAAATTTTTTCTGTCGATCCACAAGTTCATATAAGCACCTCGCAATTGTCACGATGACAATGAAATTCGAAAATAGCTAACAGGTAGTACAAAAGTATTGTAGTTATATATAGATGTGATTACTTTTATCAGAAATTGCAAGTTTACATGAATTATGAGTACAGTGACAAAGAACTAATAAATGCGTAAATAGACAATGTCATTTCCGAATCGTTAAAACTCAACGATAACGAATCCAAATGGTATTAGGTTAAAAACGTGGAATAGCCTCCAAAAAATCACGATAAACGTATACATACCTGTTTCAAGGAGACAAAAATCAAGGCCGTTAAATAGAGGAAAAAATAAATAGTGATTAACGGAAAGTACTAATTATCTCGTATTAATTTCTCGATACTTTGTATATGTCTGTATACGGTTAGACGAATCGCTATCCCGTATTGTATCTTATCACAGAAAAGCATGAGAGCGACCATATGTGGCCACAATTCAGCAATGACTTTATTTTGAAGCGCCTCTATGTCCACAAAACGTGGTTATAAACTACGTAGTCAATGTTCGCAACTTTTCTCAGTGGGTAACAGTGGGTAATATTCACGATTTTATGGTTCTATCCCGTACTATTTTCTTATTTTTATACTTATAAGTAAAATCGTATAAAGAATAGCTATTTAATTTCGGTAAAATTGATTTTTGCGTAGGTACTAAGGAGTAGGCACTAAAGAAACCAAAGTAACAGCCATTGAAGAAAAAGAAAAAAATCTATTCGATTCTAAGTCGAAACTCGAACCATTTTAAATTAGTTCAAGTAGAATTTTGAAGAATTTTATTCTAAAATCATCAAAAATCTCTTTAGCTGAGACTCGAGCCACTTTAAATTAATTTAGCAAAGATTCGAACCAAAATAAATCTGAAAAGGTTTGAGTTTCGACTAAACAGAAATTTAAGGAATTTTATATGTGATAATAGTATACATATTTAAGACATCTTTACTCAACCTAAGATGCTTTTACATACTCTTCTTGTTTTAGGTCAATTTTGTAGACAAATTTTCTTGAATTGTATTATGTTAATTTGATGTAATAAGTAATACGAGGGATATCGATGTATTGTGTTTATTACCCATCAGCAAGTATAATCTTATGAATTAATGTACCTTTCATTATTCTTGATTGTACATGTTAAATTGATTAAGGCAACGGGAGAAACTATATTTATATGCACATCAGGAGTATAATATATCAACATAATGTCTCGTAAGCATCCTGACTATGTATATATATATTTTTTTCCTTACATATATTATCGACATTTATTAAAATAAATTTTTATGTATGTATGTACATAAATTTAGTTACACAATCAAATTAAAATGTTCATGTTTGGTAAATTAGCAATAGATTGTGAAAAAGATGCATAAGAATAAAGTATACTATAGATCATTACACAGTTTCAAATATAATTATCTTCATTCATTTCTGTTGAAAACAGTATACATTTCAAGAAACTTTAATTAATTAATATGTTAATAATATAATAGGCATATATATATATTACTTTTTTTTGGCAGTTGATTGTTTTTCATCTTTTCCACAACCAATTATTTCTATTTTACATTTTTATTCAGAAATAAATCTTATATTTTGCAAATTTATATAATGGAATTTATATAATAGAATGGCGAATAAAAGATGTACGTGTTTAAAATGCCATCATATACTCGACGTAGTTAAATAAATACAGTATATATAAAATTGTGCTTTAACGCTACTGCTATTGAGTATCTGCAGCTTTTCTTTATTAAGAATTGCATTATTATAACATTACAATAATGCATTGGCAACACATACAATACGATAAATAATAATCTGATTTTGTGATAACACATTCATTAATACATAATTTTGATTACTTAAAATGATTTTCCGACACACACAAACGAAATAAAATGTATAATTTTACAGACAATAAAAATACATATAAACGTATTACTGTGTAAATATTTATAATAAATACGTTACATTAATGTAAAAAAAATGTTTTATGTTAATGTAAAAAAATAGTCTTTGTATAATCTGACAGTTAGTATCTACGTCGAGTACAGCATTTGTAGAACGGGCAGCTTTCTGTTGCGATCGCGAAAGTATTATGTGTATGTATGTATGTGTATGTGTGTATGTATGTGTGTGCGTTGTCGTGTGCATAACATTAATTATATAAATCAATATAACAACATATCTCTCATAGCGCGATGAAAGCTAGCGAAAACTTTTATGGAAAACGCTAATAGAACGACACTCTCGCATACTCGTCAGTCACTCATTTTATACATACACACGTGCACGCGTTATCCCCATTTACAGGTGTATATTAAAAAAAAAAAGAAAAGAAATTTGCCTTCGTGTTAGGAGCGAACATACGTAGCACGAGGACGTAACGTTAAGAATAATTCTTTTTGACTTCGGTATGTTTGCTTCCAACGTCATATTATTCCGCGTATACACGTCGCACATTATATATTGTAATAGTGTACTCTCTATATAACGTTACTTCTCCGCTATCGTATATAATAATTATATAGGTACATGCCTTTTTTTACGCGTGCATTGCGGATATTCTTTTTCCTTTTTTTTCCATAAAGATGCCGTTTTCCTATACATGATTCTTCAAAAAGACGTGTACATGGTTGTGTGTACATGGCACCAAAAGCGCGACATCTTTGAACACGTGTTTCTAATATAATCTTAAGCATACAAAAATAAATTATAATAATGATTGTGTATCTCTGAGCTCTTACGCATGTACAGTGAATACTATGTTACGTGTACACGTTACACGCGTATACACGACGTCGCGTACGTAGCGGATACGTACGCAACCATGTGTGCGCGTGTGCAGATAGATAGATACGTAGAGAGAAATAGAGAGAGATTGTGATAGATATAAATATATATACGACTATTTTAAAGTACAATACCCCTTAAGGATTATCCGTTATTTTACGGAGTACCATTGAAATGCTCGTTTCCTTTACAACGCGTCTTCATGGAACACCTAGGCGAGCTCTGTGTATGTGTATACGTGTGTATATGTACGCACATGTATGCCACACACACACACATACACACACATACACATATAATGTAAAAAATACTAATCTAAAAAATTCCGGCTGTACAAAACCATACGTAATAATATTTATAATTCACTTAAACATTTTGCATGATAATGCCCGCTCAAGAAGAATTTAAAACGTAAATTACACGTAGCGCTTACACGAAAACATTGCAGGACGCATCCGGATGAAGCTCGCACTCGATCGATGTACGTGCGTCTCTCTCCTAAGTGTTCTTACTTTGTTAATCCCACCATAACGTTTGCTGGTGTATGCTTTGGCTGCAGCAAATTACCTGCAGTATAAATCGGTTAATAACATCATATAAATATGTCTTTTACGAATTGAAAAGCCGCATATAATTGATAAAAATAATAATCGGAAAACTATATATAGTATACTCACCTACGTAGTTTACATAGTTTAAGTAAATTACAGACTTGTGAAGGCACAAGATAAAACGACTAGGATCAATGCTAAGAAAATTTTGGGCGGTCGAATTTGGATAGCTGCCGAGTTTTCCTCTGTAAATATACAGAAAATTGAGAACTGACGATCAAAGAAACCTTCTTAAACATAAGGAACCTCTAAAGATAAAATTAGTGTGCGCACGTACCCTTTCGTGCCATCTCGGGTGGGTAATCTAAAAAAAAAAGAAAAAAATAATTAGTTTTTAGTTAACTGAACAGTTGTTCTTGTTAATTCTGATTGGGAAAATATTTTTCGCTTAGTTTTTATTTTTAATAGAAAAGAAAAGAATTAATAAAAAGTAGCTAACGTACCACCGATAAACATATGCGGCTCAGACGGTGGAGACCATCCGAAAGAATTTCTAGCTATGAGGACTGCCTCATAGGATCCAGGCTCAAGCCCCTCAATCGGATGCTCCACGATAAATTGATTTCCTTTACCGTTCTTGACTTCGGGCATGACGATGCTCCAGTTGTCCTCGCCTTGGCGACGATACTGTATCTAAGAAAGAGAGACACTGTATTTTGTACCTCTGTTTATATACTATATATACGTATCTCCATATTTCAGAGATTCTATATACAATTAAATAACGCATACAATATTTACCTTGTATTCGTTGATTGGTGAGTAACTTTCCAGACGCCATTTGAAAATAATTCCTGTACTGTCAGTGGTCATGTTAACGCTCAATAGTTTTGCTTGCGAAGGCACACCTAACGGGCATTTATTGGTGCGTATTAATTTTACATACTTTATACATTTAACATATTATTTTTATCATTTGATGCGAGTTAATGCACGACGCCGACGACTCCCTTAATATTACGCGTATAACAAATACCTGTAAGCCTGATAGTTTTGGAGTCTCGACCGATGGAATTTTGTGCGCTGCATTTATAGTCGCCAAAATCCTGCTCCATGGTATGCAAGATCTTTAAGGTGTGCTTGGTCTTGTTTCCTTTCATTTCTCCGTGGTGCATGATAATCGATTCCTTCTTCTGCGTAATCTCTTTATTGTCTTTGGACCATTTTATTATGGCCTTAGGATAAGCGGTCACGATGCACATCAACTCTGACTCGATACCGGTGCCGCTATGTACCATACTCTTCTTCGCTTCTACTTCAGGCGCGTCTGTCGCAAAGATGAACGATGTTAATATATTTATGAAAAGTAGACAGTCGTAACATAGCTGATTGAACGATTAATTTAGGAGGCAGCTATGATCTTCTCGAATGAGCAATTAACTTACAATGCACAATGAGGGTGATCGCTTCTATCGCCGGGTCCTTCGAGCCGTCCTCAGCGAGACACTGATACCGACCACTGTGTGATTTGTTCACTTTTCTTATCGTGATGTAATTGCCATTTACTACCACATTAGGATCGTAGTTACTTAGCTTTTTATTCTACAAAAAGAGACGAAGAGGGATCAGTCTGTTTTCTCTCTCTTTTTCTTTCTTCTTAATTCTGATTTTTATCGACGATATTGAAACATTTGAAATTATTATACATTCTATATTAGTACATTGATGATAACAATAAAGTAGTATTAGACATAATTGATATCATTTTTAACGATAAAATAAGAGTGACAATTGTAGCGATACTGATATTTTCATTAGTTTTATTATTATGTTCTACCTCGACAAACCACTTGATTTCAGGCGGGGGCCGTATACTCGTCTCACAACCGAACGTGATGATATGTCCCTGGTTCACTTCGATCTTCCTCTTGGGTGTCACGCGTATAAGTCCCCGGTGCGAATGTTGCGGTGGGACGGCTGGCTGTGGCGGCACCGTGGACTGTTGCGGAGCCACAGGCTGCTGTGGGATCGCAGCAGACTGCGATCCTTTAGGTTCGACTCGCAAACGATGGGTAAGCACTATATGCTCTTTTAGGAGAATGATACATTGGTAATTGTTGGAGGAGTCATCGAATGATGCGTTATAGATCATCAATGTGTTGTTCGGCAATCGAACAATCCTTTTCGAATCCTCCGTATGCGGTTCCGAATCGACGTATAAATACTCTTTGTCCTTCATCCACGTAACCGCGTAGTTCTCTGAAATAGATCAAACGATGTATTACGTTTCAACATATGTCTTCAGAGTCGTCTTGACTACCGTGGAAGTTCGCCGATGATTATAATTTTACTATTAATTTATACATACAGTGTGACTAATTGTACACGGGGAAAAATAATTTGCCCAGCAACTTTTCTGCTGGTCTTAGCAGAAGGTATAATAGCAAAATCTTTTTGTTATTATATGGACAAAGAGATTTGCTAAGTGTACTAATCACTATTTGCTGGATATATAATTTGCTGAATCTACAAATTATTTTGCTATAAGAATCATGATGGATTTATACGAGCAGTTGTTTTGTTCCGATAGCAAATAAATTTGCTAAGGATACATTATTTTGCGTGAATAGCAAAATTAACGTGATTCTTAGGACAAATACACTCAATAAATTTTTTCTATCCTGGCAACGAAACTACTTCTGCTCTGATAACGAATAATTTGTAAAATTAGTTACGTCAACTAAATTTTTTTTATGTCACTACGAATATGTAGTAGCAACGACGATTTTACTAAAAGAGCAAAATTATTTTTCTCCGTGTACGTAATTAAATTAAACGTGTGGTCAGTAGAAAATTGATAATACGATCTAATAAGTATTCGGGAAATGTATGCATTGTATACAAATATGTATATTTATGATTTTAATTTACATCAAAAATTATTCTTGTTATACACAGAAAAAAAAGATTTTCTAATATATGGACAAAAAATATTAACTGCAGGAGCAAATGTTCTTGCTTTCATAGTAAAAGTTATTTAGTTGTGATAACTAAAAGATTTGCTAATATATCTTTTAGCTATCACAACTAAATAACTTTTATTATGAAAGCAAGAAAATTTGCAGTTAATATTTTTAGTTGTCCATATATTAGTAAATCTTTTTTTCGTTTAGAAAAAGTTCTACGTTTCAAACATCGTACTAGCTGTCACATTTGCAAAATGCTGCTCTAAAGGAGACTTTTCTTCCTTTCATAAGTTGTATCGCGCTTTGTACGATAAATTTAGAAAGGGACTGTCATTGTTCTACAAACCTGCGTGAATCACGGTGCAGGGTAACATAACGGTATCTCCTTCTATTGCACGAATACTCATGGGCAACGACAAAATTTGCGGCGGTGGGCTGGTGACACCGAGATTGTCAGCATCTTCACCGTCCTCGTCGAATTCGTCTTCCTCGTCCACGGGCGGATCGTCCTCATACTCGTCCTCGGTACTCTTTGTTGATTTACACAGACCTGAAACAGTACAACATACATCATAAGTTCAAGCAATTTGAAAGGCGGGAATAAAGGATAACAAACAGCCGGCTGGCTGTTTCAATGTTGGATCTAATTGTCATTGACCGGCTCACTGTGCCGCGCTAGTTATCAGGGCCTGGCGTTAATGTGATCAACAGTGTTCGTCACAACTAAACTAACAACATATTTGTGAAAATCTAAATTCCTTCATTTAAATAGAATAAACAACTGTTTTCATGAAAAGCAAAGATTTTAGGAAAATGCACATTTCCTCATTTGAAGGAGATATTTTCTTAATGTAAAGCTAAGTATATATTAATATAAATGTATATATTAATATAAATACGTTATTAATATTCACCGAATAAATATTATTCATTTCTTAAATATTTTTTCTCGCAATGCAGCGAAAAAATATTTCAATGGCACAACTTAGCTGCTACAGCTACATTTTAGCTCATGCGGCTAATCTTTTTTCGGTGTGCACACACGACCAATTGTTTCCGATAGTTTGAGTACGCGACGATCAAATTGTTCCCGTTAATTCGCCGATGGACCGCGCGCTCGGCCAGCTGTAACTCGTTTCCCCCGTTAGAAGCAGCAATTTGGGATTCTCTCTCCCTCTCTCTCTCTCTATCTATCTATCTCTATCTATCTATCTATCTATCTATCTATCTCTATCTATCTATCTATCTATCTATCTATCTATCTCTCTATCCCTTGAAACCACAAACCGATCGGCCGTGGTGCCGCGCGCGAGAGGGGTAAACCGGGCGGTCGAAATTAGATTTCTAGTGCACGACCGCGCCCGATTTCGGGACGCGCGCCCCGCATAAACGAGGCTTACACGCATACCGGCTTTCTAATAATACGCGACCCCGTACCACCCTTTTCAACAATGGTGGAGAGCTTCCTCTTGCCATCGCAGCGTCGGCATCGTCGTTGTCGTCATCATCGTCGGACACTGGCGTCGCGAAATGAGAGCAAAATTGCGATTAGATGGCCGCGAAGAGAAAGAAGACGACAGAGAGAGAGAGAGAGAGAGAGAGAGAGAGAGAGAGAGAGTGTGTGTGTGTATATATGCTTCTTCTCTGCATGTTCGACGCCAGTTTGCCCCGTTTTTCAAAGGCACGTCTTCACGCTAAGGCGTTGTACATGCCGTTCGATTTTAGCCACGGGTGCTATGGCAAAGCTACCACGCCCTGCTCGGGCTTGGAGAGAGAGAAAAAAAAATGGGTCGCGCGCGAGTCAAGCCGACTCGTCGTAGTGGTCGGCCTAGTGGTCGGTAAGAAGAAGGAAAAAAGAGGAATAAAAGGGCATCCGGTACTTTTGTGAATTAAGATCGCTTAATCATCGTTTGTCGTGACGGAGGTCGCGGATTCGCGCCTGCACCGATGCAAAACTCGGGAAAATTGTTAGTCGGCAGCTCTCGCGAGTGATTGATCGTCGTGCGCTTGCAGTTTCTCCAAGTTGGCTGGGGTGAGATGTGGCGTAACGTGCGGCGGATGAAGTGGCGAACACCGTGCGCGCGAACGACGTATTTAAATGCCCATCGCTCTCGGCGAAGCCGCTAATTGATTACTTTAAATTCTCATTACAGATCTGTCGAGGTCGTCCCTGAACGTTGGGTCTATTGATTTTATTAAGTGACTCTTCAAATCCCCGCCGGGCGTGAAGCGCGTCGCACACGGTCACTCGCACGCTGTTTAATTTGAGACAAAATCGATACGTGGCTGATATCGTAATTTTGGGGAATTTTGAAATAAATACTGAAAACGCGCGCGGACTTGATTGAAATAAATTGTTCGACGAGACGACAAGGCAACGCGATCGTGCAGTTGGTGATAATCGTCGCGGCGTTCCTACACGACTAAGTGAAGCGCGATTACACAGGAAGAACCTCGTGAATTTAGATTAATAGCAGTCCACTACATGTCGGCATCCGCGCTCCCCTTGGCGCTGCAACCCCCGTCTACGACTTTATCCCGGATTCCCATAGCAACGACCTAGTCTGTATACACGGATAGGCGCCACGGTGTCCCATTGCTCAATCTACCTAGATACCGTGGAGAGCACCCACACGCTCCCTTTCAGTCGGACTAATGTCACGGAACGACGAAGCCACGTTCGTAGCTTCTATCTATTTTGCAATGAACGATGCATCGGTGGTGCGTGTCGCTCGCGAAACATCTATTCTGATTTTCGGGGGAAATTCCTCATCGCGTTACAGAAGCAACTATCCAAGCGTATTTATCACCGTGAATACGCGACGTTTTGGGTTAAAAGTGAATCGGCTTTTAGTTGCAATTTTTTTAATATTAAAGGGAGAAAGGAGAGAGAGAACGCGTAAATGAATTGGCAAATAAACATGCGAAAATATTAATCGTTACATGAGGATGGCTTGGTGTAACGATTAATATTTTAAGAGGGTTGAAAAAAACATTTTTTGAATTAAAGATTGAAGTAAACTCTCTGTCGCTTTGAACATTCTTTCAGAATTCTCTTTGCATCGCGGATATAGGTGGGTGATTTCGAAATGGCTGTTAGACCGAAGTCGCAATAGGATGTTAGAGCATTGTCGGCCTTAATTGAAAGGCCACGTCGAGTACAATGGAACGGAGCAATGATCCAAATTGATCAGGTACACGAAATACATTAAGGTGTGGTTTGCCTCCGATGGCCCCGTTAAGGTCCGACATTTTTCACCTAGCCCTCTAATCCGCCTACTACTGTATTTACCGCTCACTAGGGACGAATTTATTGAGGGATACGTTAAAATACGCCCTTGACGCTATCTTAGAATCTTGCTCGCCAACACTTTTCATAATTTCTCCTTTTCTCGCGTGTTTGCAGGAGCCTCTCCTTTCTTTATTTTCACGCGTATATTCCTCGATTAATTTAGAATCAATAATTTCTTCGCAAAAGTTCGCTGGGTATTCCGTAATTTTTTTCTCTTGCTAATCTTCTTCTTCTCATACCACTTCCTGATAGTTAACGTTGAGGACTCGAGCGGAAAAGTCCCTAATTAAAATTAATCTCTCATTATAAATTAGCTTCTAATTAAAATTCTGCTAAAGACTGAAGTTCATGCGCGTTTGCACGAGCAACGAGGTCAAATTATTCAGCTGCTCTTTAGAACGCGCATAATTCAAAAAGCATAATCACGCATTCGAAATTCGCGAGAATCGCGGATGAAAGGATGTCCTGCGATGCCCTGGAACAACCGTCGTGTCCGCCGAGACTTTCCCGTAGTAAATCAAGGTGGAAGCGCGGCATGAAGGGACTCTCGTCGTGTTGCGACACAGAACGAGCGGGTCGCGTTTATTGCAGCCGACCTCATCCTCATTTCCATCGGCGACTCGAGCAACCGGCGACCGGAGCGAAACGCTACGGGGAATAACGGACGTGCGCGAAAACCGCAAATCCAGTTTGTATTAGAGGCACGTGTCTCACCGTGGTGGCGATGACGTCAGGCCGTGACAGAAGCACCCGAAAAAAAAGGCAACGCTGCGGTGCGCGCGGACGGACACGTCACTTGCACCGCGGCGTCCTTACATCCTTTACGTGACTTCAAATGCGAGAACGCCGCGCGAGGGGATGAGAGAGATTCGTTACGGTCTCGGACTCGTGGGACAGTCGGCTGCCACAAATCAAAAGGGTGCCCCCGTAAATTTACGTGCGATAAAGGCCGCGTGGCCTCGTGCGTCTCGAAAATGTCCATATCCGTGCATTGCAGTTTCGTCGTGATCGCGTTGCAGTTTCGCGCGCAACGTTACGCGGGCAGAAATAACTCCTCGACGAGGAGGAGGTCGGTGTGCGGTTCGTGGAATTTTCGTTGGATCGGAGCTGACTTCCGTTTATGAGACCCTCTCTCTATCTCTCCCCCTCTCTTTCTCTCTCTTTCTCGCGCGCGCGCCCAACTGTAGCTGTTTGGATTCTGCAATAAAATAGATGTGAGCTCACATACAATGTTAAAAGCACGATACGCGCGATGGACGGAGCGCCGGTCCGATTTCATTGCTGGATTGAAATGACATTCGCATTTTTCCTACAGAGAGGACAATTTGTTGAATCAAATAAATGTTTCTTTGGAATAGTAGAATAAATTTTTTGGTTGACACAACAAAAATATTTCTTTGAAACTAAACCGTAAATAAATATTTTTTTTGCGCCAAATAAAATTTTTTTCGATCAATGAAAAAATTCGTTTGAACTATTTCAAAGGAGTGTTTATTTGATTCAACCAAATCGTTCTCTCGATGTACCAGTACATAAAATGAATGGAAAAATTGATGATACATAAACTCTGATGCACTGAGAGAAAAAATATCTAGAGAGTAAAAAGATATTTATTCGGTGAGGACACTAGTAGCATTTTACCTGAATTTAAATTATTTCATTTAAATAAAACGAACAATTGGATTTTCGTGAAAAGTTAAGGGATTTTAAAATAATCTAAATTTTTTATAAAAAAATGTTTTTATGTTTTAAACTATAAAAGTAAATATGTTATTAGTGTTCGAATAAATATTTTTTTGTTTCTTAAATATTTTTTTCTTAGTATATGAAATATAGGAACCGAGAAGAATAAAGTGAGTAAAAGTGAATGAAAGTTGGTTGCACGATTGGAGAAAACTTCGCGGAGGTAAATAGAAATTTACGTATCTCGCGTTGTTTCCATTATATCTCTCGGCACATCGTGGAAAACTCTTCCGCCGCATTTCGTTTCGCTTCTCGGGAAGAATTCCGAACTACCCACTCGACGATCACTCAGCGAGTGGGTGAAAGATGCTTTGAAAAAAGAAAGGAAGGGGCCGAGGGCGACGTCTTAACGATGTCGCGGTTCCGCTTATCGATCGCGTTTTCCTCCCTCGCGCGGAAGCCACATCTCTGTTTGTTCCGGCGAGAACCTCTCTCCTTTCCCTTTCGTAACAAAATAACGTCACCCTCGAGTCGGTAAGGTTGGAGCTTACAAAATTCCCGGCGCGAATTCCATA